TATGACATAGAAGACATATATGACATATTAGTCACCGCAGTCATATTCGTCATCTGAGTCATCCATGTCATCTTTGTATAACAATATAAACTTATTTTACTAAAAAATTATATTTAGCTTATAAAGTAAATTTTATTTCTTTAGATTCTTCACTTTTTACTATAAAGTTTTTATATAGTTTTAAATTTTTAAAAATAAGTATATAATTAGATTAAAAACTAATTTATATAATTCTAATTAATAATTATGAATCAGATATTAATTAATTCATATACAATTGTAATTTTTATTTATTAATTGCTAATCAAAAAAGTGATCAATTGAAAGATATGTGATTAATTAACATTCTACTTAAATAAATTTAATAAAATTATATTAATTAGGTCTTTTTATTAATAAATATACTTTATTAATCAATTAAAATTATTTAAATATATAAATTAATATAAATTATATTAATTAAAAGATATCTTATTAATAAAAATGATTTTTTTATTATATTTAATCAGGATCACTTATTGGTATAAAATAAATATTATAATTTTATTTATATTATATAAATTTAATAAATGTTATTAATTGATATATAATATAAATATAATATTTAATATATTGGGTATATTTTTATTGATAATTTAGAAATATTCTGAATATTATATTTTATTAATATATCAATATATTAAATATCAATAAGAATACATTTATTGATGAATTTATAATACTTCAATTGGAACATAAATGTTTTCTTTTATGTTATCAATCAGAATAATTTGATTAAAAGAAAACAAAAAAATAGGAAACCAATTAAATTAAACCTAATAATTCAGATTTGAATTCAATTAGTCTTTTATTTGATTTTACATAAAATCAAAATCAAAAATCCCAAAATCAAAATATTTCAACTTTAAAGATCAAAATCAAAATCAAAAGTTAAAATGGTTAAAATAATATCATTTATCATATGATTTTTTATATATTAAAAATTAAAAAATAAAAACTTAAATAATCTTGATCATTCCAATCTCATGAAACAACTACTATTTAAATTAGATAAATCTAATAAGTTACATATCATTAATATCAAAACAGCTAATCTCATGATAATCATTATTAAATTTCAAAATCCAGATCCTTTATTTTAATTGGAATTTATTGAATTATAATTCCAGCTGAAAATATTCAATTGTGGCTATTTCGAGATTGACAGATCTAATTCATTAGATTTGTCAAAATCATACATTTTTTAATTTATTTTATTTTAATATGAAAAATCATGTGAACTGATAACATTGATTTCAACCATTTAATGTTCAAAATAGATTAATTTCAATTTCGTGTGTCATCTAATAAACAAATTGGCAAGTAATCATAGAAAATAGCATACTTATCTGAAATGTGTGACAAGTTAACTTATATGCACACATATATCATGTAACTGCTTTTGATTTTTTGACGAGTCAAAATTAAATCATGCCATCTAAAATATAAAATCACGTTTTCCTTGCACAGTGAAATTTTGCTAAGAAAAATAAAATTTTATAACGCACTTTTTAGATTTATAAATTCGATTTTTCTATAGCATTTCAATCCTTATAGATATTAACATCAATAAAAGGTGTTCCAGGGTGTCACATCGATCCCACATGACTCCAACCAAAATTCAAGTCTCATTTGTAAGTCAGAGCGTCTCCTTTATGGGTGAGTCATACATAGCACATTTTCTTGTATAAAACCTAGATCAATGACATAAGATAAATCTTGTGATGACGAAGAAAAAAAAATTTTATAATATTACCATAATTGGCCTCAATAAAACCATCATAAACTTTAATATCCCACCAATTTTATCGTAAAAGATGTTTTCAAACGGGACACTCCACAAAAAAGTTAAAGATTGATTTTGATCACTGATATGATATACAAAAATCCTACAGCTCCCGTAGCTAAAGATCCAGCCGTCTTAGCAGCACCCCATACCAAATGAGACCGGACCGGGAAGTCCCAAATTAGATGCTCCAGATTCAAAGTATACATTATGTTGACCAAGAATTTGTTTTGAATGATTTTTAACAGTAATGACGGTCTTTCTTTGAACTAAACCTAGACCCAGTATGCAAAAGAACTTTCAATATATGATTATATACAGTACAAAACATAAAGAAAATAATTTTATACATCTATGAAACACGCGGGAGAAATTGCTGCAATCGGAAGAACAATTGCCTGTCATAATTGTGATGAAAGATAATAATACCACCTATTACAAGTTTTAATTCTGTGAATTTTCAGAACCAAAGTTGACTAAATTCACTAGTGTTTTAATTGATAATTTTAAGGTGAGAATTTCGTTCATTTATTTTAAATCATATATACATAAAAATGTCATCATTCCTGCCTGTGACGCAATCTATATGCATACTAACTTTATTTTCTTAGATCTACAAATACAAAAGATTTACATTACATCATTTCGTAAAATTCGTAACATTAATTACTGTAATATAAATATGAGAAAAAAATATTCGTTTAATTTCATAACGGAAATACGGAACCATGTCCGAGCTTACTCTCTTTTGTCTCGTCAAAGGAAAAGTTCCCGAGAATACCTTTAAGGTTACAATCAACAAGAACGATAGCATTATAGACCTCAAAGAAGTTATTAAAGAGAAGAAAAAGAATGAATTCAATAATGTTGATGCTAACGACCTCACATTATGGAAAGTAAATACCCCTATTAGTGAAAAAAAAAAGTTCGAACGCCTCAAAGATCAAGTAACTATCAATACTGCTGTGAAGGAAATATTAGGAGGTGTAAAAATAGAAGACGTGACGAAAACTGTTGGAACGGTCTTCAAAGATTTACCCAATGAAAAAAATATTCATATTGTCGTCGAAGCTCCTCCTGTGCAGGATCAATTGATGCACGATTTGATTAAACAATTAGATACAACACATTTGGATCATGATCAAAGTGAGTAACAAAGTCAAGTATTCCTTACAAAATTTCTTTGCATGGCATTCATTTATTTTTATTTTTGAAAAAGGTTCACAGGAAAAAACGAAACCTCCAGGTTTATATTGAAATATATTTGTTAGAATTCATTGTTCAATCTCATATGATGTTAATTTTCATATTCTAAATATTTTGTAGAACGTTCATTATTACATCGTGCATTTCGCAAACACGTCCATATAGGTAACGAAATCAGAGATTTCAATAAAAAAGAAGAAGTTATTGGTATTATAACTGAAGAAGGTGGTGCGCCACGTATAAAGTGCGTCAAAGACGAAAAATCGTATTCAACCTTTAATGCATTTTTCATGGCACATTTCGGGGTGAGTTTTACGTAATACAAGATTTCGCCTTATTTTAGGATTCTAACCCAAATGTCACAAATTTAGGAGCGTCCAAGGCAAAATTACCGTGATAAAATTCGCATTGTAAATTATATTTCTTACGAAGAATTGAGTGATCTTTATGAGAATTCTCAAAAAGAGAAAGAGCAAGAAAAAAAATAATGTATCTATATATGTAAATTTATTTTTTCTTTTTATATCAAATTATTTCATGAATGCATAAATTTTAATGATTGTCTAATTTTGAAAGATACTAGCATATGTTTTGAAATATTTTTTGAACCGTTTTCAATTTTATTGTACCTTCTAAATAAATTTTTAATTTAGAGAATTATGAAATATACATTATTTTGACATAAAAATATACCCATCCTATAAAAAAGTGTAAAAAAATCTCTCAGATAAATGTCTTAAAAATACAAAATTTTGATTCTATTCTTCAATGCATTAATTCTTCAGTCATTTAATAATGATTGATAGATAATTTGAAGATGATAAATTAATTCACGTAAAAAAGGTAAATATTTGAGAACGAAATCTACTGTATTTGAGAGTTATATAGCAAATATAAATTTATTAAAAGCGATTAAAAAAGTATTCAAAACATGGACTAAATGAGGTGATAAAGGAGTTATCGTCTGTAAAAGTGTAAAAAAAACGTTAAAATAAAAAAGGTAGACGTGTTAATATGCAATTCCCAATGGTTTATTTATTTGATAAAACGTATTTATTAAAGGCATAGTTATATTGCTATCAATAATTTCAACAATGCGATGAGGGTATCTATCGCAGAAAAAAAATAAAAAATAAAATAAAAACTGCACGTCTTATTAAAAATATGGGTTGGATATCGAGAAAACATAAATAGGTTGTTTCCAAACCAAACTTTTGCATTCTCGCAAAGAATATCTACCCATTAACATTTTTTTAAAATCTATAAGATCTCGAACCATCTCTTTCGATAACCCCTATTAAAAGTTTTCCTGATCCTCTAAATGAAGAGTATTGGAATATTGATATATGATGTTGATAAATGGATGAATTTTTTTTGCACGAAACATGCATTTAAAGAACAACTTTAACACAGCGGTATGAAACGTAGCATACTTTGTAACTATTTCATTTTATCGCTTTATTTAAGCTTCGATTCATTTATTTTTAAGTTGAAAAGTAAGCATACGCGAATGATCAATTTATTGGTCATTTAATTACAAATGGGGGGGGGGGGGTAGGTCCCAATCCCCCATATATCGTAATCCAGGAAATAAATATCATTAGTAAACCCAAATTTAAACGTTTTAATCACATCATGTTCCTTGTGTTTTCAATTATTTTCAAATATTCCTTGAATATTCTCGGGATTTCACAAGAATCGAAAGTGCGGGGCGACCTCTCCAACTTTTTAAGAAATTATCTAAGGATTTTAGAGAAAAATTAAACTCATATAATGTACCAATCTCTCTCAGGCTGACCTGACCTAATTAATATATTTGACAATCTTTCTCTAGGATCCAGTCATGAAATAATAAGGCATCATCATAAATCAACTTTTAATTTTTGACAAATTTTCAACAACCTTGAATTTAATAAAATGATTTTGTTAAGGAAAAATTGAACGAAAATTTTCATAAATGGTATAAATAAGAGTGAATCTTCATAAAAGTTCTCATCATGCATGTCATATTCATTGATCCCAATTTTCTTTAGGTTCCATGATATTATCGATCGTGGTGAGTTTAGTATTAAGTAATTGAATTTGAAGGATTTCAAGGTTATGAAATTTTGGAAATTCAATTTTTGAGCATAACGAGGTGATCATCACTAATTCCGTTAAAATCCTTTTATAAGAAGTTTCGATATAAATATCTTCATCATCGTTCAAATCCTCTTTCCACCCGAAATATTTTAAATTCGTCTGATCCTCAATTAACTTGATAATTCCATCAAAGGTATAAAGGTACATAAATATTAATGGAAGCTAATAGATTTGATGACTCATATAAAGGTACTTGATCTCTGGGGAAATTATGTCGTTAATAACATTACGCACTCCTGCAGAAAGTCAAGGTGATTTATGTGAAATTGGAGGTGATCGAATTCCTTGACTTGTTATATATCTTTTAATATTGTTTGTAAGAATAAAATATTAACGTAACATAAAGACCTTTTCTTTTTTTTGATCATTTATATGATTTCCATAACTCCATGGATTCCTCCATAAGGCCGGGACAAAAGTCTAGATAACAAAAAAAAAATAATGATCAACTGTAATTATAATTTCTTCGTTGGTACAAAATAAATTTTAGCCAATGCAATTCTTTCCGTCGGTCATTTATTAATTTACAGATGTAATTCATTCATGGGAGAGTTTATTGACAAGTGATGTAGAGCAATACAATATATTGCATTAATAGGTACTAAAAAGGCAATAAAATTCGACGTTATCCGATTTGAAGTTTGAATTGATTGGCCAGATACATAAAAAATACAAACTTTAAAAACCAAATTCCCGACTTGGGGTATTGCATGGTTTATTTTTTTTTTAATTTCTCTCTTTTTTTTTAAAAAAAAAAATAAATAAATTATGTATTAAACTTTCCATCAATCGTATCGGTAAAATCTTTTTGTAACGCTCACGCGATGATCCTTACAAGAAATAAATCTTCTCTTTTTATCGTAATCAACCAGACCAACCAATAATGAATAAAAAGATTATTACGATAGGAATTAGGTAAAAAAAAAAAAATTCCTTCATTGAAAGTTGTAGCTTGCATAATTTAATTGTTTTTGTTTATATGAATGAACCTGTTTATTTGATTAGTGGAGCATCTTGTGCTGGGAAAACGGTATGTGATTGTTAATCTTTTTTATATTATTATTTTTAATTAAAATTGCCTTCATCTAACACAGACATTGGCCATTTGGTTACAGAAAATTTTCACAAATTCAACAATATTACATCTAGACGATTTTTTCAAGGTACTTGCCCTTTTTTAAAAAATCACATTTCCACCCTAAAAATTCTTATCGTTCTTATCTACAAAAAAAAAAAAAAAAAAGAAAAAGGACCAACTTCCAATCGATCCAGAAACAAATCTTGCGAATGGAGAATGTCCTGAAGCGATAGATTTTAATTCTTTTATTGATACACTTTGTGAATTACGTACATCTGCAAATCTGGTAAAATTATTTAAATCCAAAAAGGTCCAAATACGTAATAACGTTGAATCTGGCGAATTAGATAATTTGGTTTTGAAACTAAATGATCAAGTTCAAAAGATTTTAATGCAAGCTGAGAATGAATTGAACTTTGTATTTATCGATGGATTTTTGTTATACGTGAATCCTGATGTTATCAAACAGTTAGATATCAAAATATTTTTAAAGTCGGATTATGATTCGCTTAAGAAACGAAGGGAAACAGAATATGGCAAGAAATTATTAGGAAGGCGTTGGGTTGATCCTCCGAATTATTTTGATCAGATGGTTTGGCCTAATTACATTAAAGCTAATGATCATATCATCAATAGATCCGGGAGAGAAAATGATTTGTTGAATGATTTGATAGTATTAGAATCAAATAACTTTTCATCATTATCAGAAAATATTGAAAAGGTTGTAAAAATCATTTTGGAGAAATTAAGCAAAAAAGATGATATCAGCTAAGAAAATCACGCGATAAATTAAGCAAAAAAAATTGATTAGGTAAACAGAACTGATTTTTTTAAAAAAATAATGAAATGATCTGTTGGATAGGTTGCATAAACTTCTATTATTTGTTTAGTTTACTTGGTTTACACAAAAATTTAATAAATCGATCATTACTAAAAATGGACAATTAATTTTATTTTTAAATGCCGATTTTTTCATTTTTGAGGAGGAAAAAAAAAAAAAAGAATTTGTTCTCTGTTCCTTGGTAGTAAAGATATGATAATTTCGACCACCAAATATTATCGTTATGGAGATTAGTTCCGATCGGCATTCACAATTTCTGTTAGACCCACCAATAAAGTTAGTGTACAAGTATTATTTCTTCTTTTCCTTGTGTTATTTTCACTTTTGTTCTTCACCCTTCGTTATGGCTTTTTCTCAATGTAATAATATTACAAAGTAACTAGAGTTACTTTTCTGTTTAAGTTCCGCACATTTTATTGTTTTCAAACTACTAAACTACTAAAGTTTGGTAGCTGTTTGAATTATCCTGAATATAGTCATATATTCCAAAGTTTTGCCGTCCCACAAAATGTTCATTTGCTCATATATTAACATCCTTTTTTTTTGTATATAGTTACCGATTGGAGGTTGCCCAACAACCAATCCGAGCAAGAATGTGCGGATTTGGGGACAAGGATCGCCGTCCAATCGATCCTCCACCTGTCGTTAAGCTTCTTGTATCTACTGCCGATGGAACTCATATACCTGAAGGGTAATACCTTTTTTTTTAATAAAAAAAAAATTGTTTTGGTCAAATTAAGAGAGCGGATGTAAAAGATCATCTACTAAATACATTTCAATCCGATTTTTAACGCGAATTATTATTATTTTACTTATTCATCTTGATTAGTTCTGTTGATCATTCTATGATGATCGTACATGCTGCTTTATGGTCCGAAAATTGCATTGATGAGCGTAGCCTTGTAATCAATCCATCATCTATTCCCTCTCAATCAACTGGAACCGGACCTAGCTCAATTTTATCACTAAACGCTCCTTCATGCACCCGAAACCTTATGGGTCATTGTACTTCATCCGCATATGTACTCACTGATGACTTGGGTCAACAAGGAATCTATTTCATCTTTCAAGACCTATCCGTCCGTACCGAAGGATCATTCACATTAAAATTTTCGTTTTGTGACGTAAAAGGTCTGCTAACTCGGTAAGCACCGTTTATATAAATTTTTTTTATTTTATTAAATTAATCAATCTCTTAATTGATCCATAACCTTATACCAAATAGTCGTGGGAGTGTTGCAGCCGAAGTGTACAGTGGTCCTTTTAAAGTATATACCGCAAAAAAATTTCCCGGAATGACAGGTACGTTCTTGTGATCGAATGAGATGATGTCAGATTTTGATTCCGTTAATGATATTGTTAATTGTAACTTTATGGCTATATCATACATTTAAATAGAATCAACTGAACTGTCAAAAGCATTCGCAAAACAAGGAATTAAAATTCCTATTAGGAAAGATACCCGATATCGGAAAGAAGGATCTCGTGATCCATCGATTGAAGTTGTTCCCCAATCCTCATCTTCGGTGGCGGTACCTGCTAAAACGCTTAGTGACTCTGAAGCTAAAGTTGATAGTACGGAGAATGATGAGAAACGTAATCGTCACGATCTTTCCGATGACGATGCTGATTCTGAGGGAGGGAAAGACAAGTCTGTCGAAAAGCGACGTCGTAAATCCAGATAAAAAAATACATTTAGGACAAATGAACAATACATCATTCGGTTTTAATTATAGTTTCTCTGAATTGTTATATTATTTCATGTAATTGCTTGATTTATGAAAGGGGGAGGTTTAAATCATTAATGTTCACTTAAGTACGCACGTGATTTCATGAATTTTCGATGTATCTCATATATGAGGTATTTTTATATTGTACATAGTTTTTACATTATAATTTTAAATACACGATATCGTTGTAGCACGTTTTTAAAATCATTTAAATGATATTTTAGACGAGATGTTCTTTCAAAAAGATGGGACAAATAAAGAACGGTTCTTTTAATGGACATGGCAAACCTCAAGTAGAATTCGTATATATGATTGGATCATATTCGCGTAGAAAACTTTTTTTTTTATTTTCGCATTTTTAAAATTTAAGAACTTTAATTTCCACACTTTTAATATATAATGAAAATTTTTTTATTTGTAACTTCCGAATAAATTGACTTTCAATAATTCCAGCTCCTTTAATAATTTGAATAATCATTACCTTTTATTGTTATAAATAAATAATTCATTTGAAGACAAATATATTAATAAAATAAAATTCATTAACCTTGAAATTCAAGATGTAAATAATATGCAAGCAAATGTTCATCAAAATCAAATTTATTAATATGAGTATTAAAACTTTTGATAAACATTTTATGATCTGATTCTAGCATATTATTTATAGCAGCTTCTAATTATGCAAGTGAAAAGAAACAATCAGCAAGATTGGCTTCTTGAATTTCTAACTGAATAATTGATTCTTTTATTGGCTTAATGATAGTTACTAATCTTAAACATTTTGAAAAATCCACTTTTATACAGGTAATTACATTTGGATTTTCATTTGGATTTTATTTAACATCTTTTCAGCTAATAGATTGATTGAAACATTTCATATGATATAGTCTATCTTATATAAATATATGTTTTTAGACATTCTCATTTAATATTCTTTTCCTTAATCTTATTTTTAAGAAGTTTATTAGATAAATGGCTTTTTTTAAAAATAAGCTATTAATATATTTGGCCAGTTTAAGATTCTAGTTGCAAATGTATGTTTAATAAAATCTTTAGTAATTAGATTAAGTAATTGACTATATATTATATGTTGATAATATGAGAAAATTTTTGAGTAATGATTTATCTTGCTAAATTAATATTTGAGCTAACATCTGTAACTATTGCTGCAAACTATATTCTAATATTATTTAAAATAACTTCAAATTTTTTTACCAAAACCTTTATAATTTTAATCTAATAAATCTGTATACACTAAAGAATATCCTTTTTATTTGAAATATGAAGTATATGGAGTATAAAAATTCTATAAAGATTTCCTGTTTGATTTATTTAACTTTCTAATGTTATATTTATATATAAAAGATAATTATTATAGATTAATAAAAATAATTAAAATTTAGAAATAAAAATAAAAATTACTTAATTAAAGTTAAATTAATTTTTTAAGTAATTGATAAACTTTTGTATGAATATAAAGAATTTTCATTATTTAGCAAACTTTCTGAAAGAGTTTTTCTACTAGAAAAATCATATGATAAATGCAATTATTTAACAAAATCAATAAAAAATAAATATTTAATAAGACATCAGGAAAGTTCACAACATACATATAGTTTAATTAGTAATATTTCTATATTATCTTTTTTTAAGATAAATTTTGAATTTCCAAAAATTTTTCTAAGCTTTTTTTTATTCATTTGTTTTTTATTTCTTTTTATTTACATTTTCTAAAGATTTTTTATGTGATTTTACAATATATCTTACTACTTCCTTAATTTTAGATTAATTTTATTATAGTCAACTAAAATATGCTATTCTAGTATTGATATTTTTTTCATAATCATGTGTTAAATAAGCAGAATAAGCTGCAGATTGGTAAGATAATATTATTTAGCAATTGAAGTTATCATTATCTTAATTTGGATCTTTAGTAAAGAATTCTATATTATAGTATATAATCTTCCATCTTTTTCTTTTATTCTAATTCAATAACTTCTAAAATTACTTTATTGATAATAAACAGATAAAGGATTAAAAAATAAAAAAAAATATTATATTTCTGATTTTATTTTTTTTATTAAATTTTATATGACACTGATTATCTATACTAAATAAATATTAGGTAATGCATTAATAACTTTAAAGAATTTTAAAATTGTCATTTTGAAAATAATTTCAGATTTTAGCATAAGTTTTTTATTTCAGCATAAGTTTTATGTTTTGACATATATTTCAGATTTTAAAGTTAATTTCAAATTTTAGTATTAATTCAGATTTCAAAACAAGTTTTGATAGCTATATACTAAAAGTTAAAACCTTTTAGCTTGAATCAAATATGTTTCAATACTTAATACTAGTGATAATTTGATTGGTTTTTAAAGTATTTAATGTATTTACCATAAAAAAAGACTTAAAATATATGATTTTTAAAAATATTAAATGTATAAAAACCAATCAATAGACTGTAACTCAGTGATGGGTTTTGGACACGTTTTTTAGTTTTAGATAAGATTTTGGACATATAAAATTGTGTCCAAAACCTGTGCAAAACTACCTAAATTGTCCAATTTCCCAACATTGCTGTAACTAGTATATTTAAATAACTGACTAATATCATTTGTGTTAATAGAACAAATAAAGTAAATGAAGTATTAATAAATAAAAAAATCAGAAAATGATAATTTATTAATAATCTGTTTAAAAGAAAGAGAAACTATAATTAGATTTCAAGAAGACATGAACTCTTTCTCATAATCAATTTGAACTTACTATAATAAAACTTAGATAAGAACTGAAATTTTAAGATATTATTAATTAATATATGAATATAAAAATATATTTTATTAAGTTTTAATAAATTTTAAAGCTTTTTAAAATCTAACAATATTTTTCTTCTATTACTTCATTTTTTTTCTTATTCTTTCTCTTCTTTTTTGTTACATTATTTAATATTTTATCATATTATTATTTCTTTCTAATCTTTTTATATAGGATTTTACATTAAAAATAATACTATTTTTATAGAATTCTAAATAACAATTACATTTATTATTTTGTTATATAAAATATAATAAATTCACATATTAATATTATACTTTCTTTTTTATTTAAATATTTAAATATTAATTATATTAATTTTGATATATATTAGCTTTTATATCCTTTAATTAAACAATGTTTAGATCATTTTTATTACAAGCTTATATTTTAAATAATATTTATTTACTAATGACTATCATAAAATATAAATTTATTTAATAGTATTTTATTTAATTAATTAAGTATTTTTTTGATAAATTATATTCTGAACAATTTCATATCAATCAAAATCAATTTTTATGTTATTTAAAAAAATATTTTAACTAATAAAATTACATAAATTTAAATGTCTATTATATTATATTTTAGCTAAGAATTTATTATTTTTTTTAAAACTTTCTTTATATATTAATTTTTTTCTTTTGGATATTATCTAATTTATAGTTTTTTATTAAATAATTAGAATAAAAGAACATATAGAAATTTGTTGCTATTTTGATACATTTCTTAGATCAGAAATGGATTTGATATATAATTACAGAATATGATTATATTTATAATTAGAAGGTGGTGAATTTATTTTGCTTATTTATTTTAATAAATATTTGCAAAAAATCAGAACTTTATTTACTACTAATAATATTACTGATGAAATTCAACTTTTATATGTAACCTTACCTTAGGATTTTCTTAAATTCTATTAATTAAGTAACTAAAAGGAAAAAATCTTGATAATGATACATAAAATTTTCTTTATTGTAGAATATTCAAAGAATTTTATATATAAACATTACCTTAGATTACAAGTAATAGGACCAAATTGATTTTTTTTTTAAAAAAAGTTTCTAAGTAAAATAGGTCATCTGATTCAGATCATTTGTTATTTCAAAAAAATTTTTTTGTCAATTTGGTCCTTTTTCTCAGCACTCACCCCATATTGTTAAAAAGTAAAAAAATAATTTTTAATTCATATATTGCATATTGTAAACTATTCATTAAATTAAGTTAAAATTTAAAGGTTATATTTGCATTAGAAATTAGGATTTGTATTATTATAAGAATAAGTTAGGGTTAGGAGTAAGGGGTTAGAGTTAATGTTAGGTTAGTGTAATATTACAGTTAAATTAACTTTATGTTAGGATTAAATTAGGGTTATATTAGAGTTAAGGTTAAGTTATAAATAACCTAATCCCAACCCTAATCCTAACTCGTCAATTGACAAATGACCTAATCATTAATTTACATCAACTACTAGTTAAAAATATTTTAATATTAAATATTTTATATTTTGTTTTATATTTATTATAATGAAAAAAAATGTACTTTTTTATTTTACACGTCATGGCGAATTGTTGGGGCTTAGTTATCATATAAGACGTGATATCCACTCTTCCATTCAATAGACCAATTTATTTGACGAAGCCAATTTATTGAAGTAGTGTATACATTTTTGAATGATAAAAGGTTTTTTTTGAGTATATTTGCTTGATACACTTACAATATTTGACATTCATAAAATTGCGCATGTTCTACTTGGAAAAGACTCGGATGGTTCCCGATATTGCAGTCACCAAAATGTCTGTTGATCACATCGTTGTGCCTGCCTTCTACTCACCGAATCATTATCATGTTTTTATATTATAACTCCAATTTGGGAAGCGGCTAGGAAATTTACATACCTAGGTCCGGGTTTACGGATCCGCAGTCACCAAAAATGAACCGTTTTTTGAAAGATCCAGGTGCCTCCGTGAAGAAAAAGGATTCCGTGAACTTGATTCGCTATTAGAAATGATAGCGAATTGGACACATTGTTTTAGTTGACGATCTCGCTGAATAAAAACGCGTATTTTTGCCCGTTGTTCCAAGGGAAACGAGTTATTTATTTATTTATTTATTTTTACACAAAGGCAAATCTGTGGTTTAAACGCGAACAGGTGTATTTTGAATTCAAAGATGATGTTAATATTTGAAGAAACGATTTTTTTTTCCTTTGTACCCAATTCTTTTTTTAATTATTATAATCAGTTAAATTAAATTTGATATTTGTAACGATATAAAATAATGTTCCGCAAATAAAAAGAATTACGACAATTACGACTTTATGACTAAATAATTTTTTTATTATTATTAATTAATTGCATCAATATACGTTTGGATTTTTTTTTTTTACAAAAAAAAAAAAATTTTTAACTAATTCATTATTTATATTAGTACATAATAAATAACCAATTATGGTTAATGTTATGAGAAAGTATAAAGTATATAAATCAATTTATGAGCTTAAAAAAAAAATTGAGCTTTTACATACTCTGCTTTCTCAAGAAAATATTTTTTTCCAAACCTTTCACCTCCTTCTTCCCCCCCCCCCCCCATTATTATCAGTTCTTTTTAAATCATATAATAACGTAAACGAGCGCGTCCTCAAACGTTGATAAATCGTTCGTTAAAAATTTTATTTGATATCAAGAACGATATAGTTTGATAAAGTAGTAATAGGATAACGTAGTGATAAACATACGCAACGTCGCGTTCCCTTGACATATTTCCAGAACAAAGGCCGCATACTTTTCAAACTCTAGGTTGCCTTTTGATAACAAGGTAAATTCAAAGGAAAAACAACAAAGAAAAAAAAAAAAAAAATATTAACGCGTTGATATTTTATCATGAAGGTGAATTCCTTTTTCATACCAAGAAATTTTTTTTTTTTCAACGGTATTAGTGATGATTACTCCATATCAAGAACAGAAATCCGAACAAAGAGTCCGGGAAGAAGGTACATTTATAAATCATGGAAGTTCGTCGATATGTACAACCGAGAGCGGAGGGTTTTCACCGGATCCAAAACAATCCGACGCCAACCATGATCCATTTCTTGGAACGATGACCACAAAGAGTGAAGGGATCATGAATGCCGGAAACGAATTGATCATCAGAACAAATCCATCTCTTATCAATAACGAAGGAACCTTCACCTTATATTATCCATCTTCTTCGACGCAGCAAGAGGTACTTTGTCGTAATAATGATAGAACTCTTACATATTTAAATAATCAATCATCTCAAAATATGGTTTCAATGATACAACCCACGCAAGGACCGACTCCTGCTTCCACACCTACACAGAAATTATCACCGAGACTTCGTTCGACTTATGAATTAAACGCGTCACAATCTCGTCCAGATTTAAGATCTCAATTATACCCTCAACAACTTTTACATTTACAATTACAACAACCAGCCGAGCAGACATCTGTTGAAAATCATTACCAATTACAACAATTTTTTCAATCTCAGGTACCGTTAGTGTTGACAACTTACGCTGTTCAACAACAACAACAACAACAACAACAACAGCAGCAGCAACAACAACAACAAATCCATCATCAACCTGGTGAAGGACAGGTGGCGAATCGACAGTTGGAACGACATCAAAGGCCAACAACATCTTTCTTACCATATCAAGTCCCTTTTTTACGATATAATCAAAAAAAACAACTACCTATTTCTGAAGAAGAACGCCAAAAACGTAGACTGGAGCGTAATCGGATCGCGGCAAAACAATGTCGTGAGCGAAAGAAAGTATATGTTGCAAATCTTGAATCCAAAGTAACACGTCTTGAGGAAGATAACGAAAGACTTTGTCGTGAACTTACGGAATTAAATACAAAATTGCTGCAACATACTCTTGTCATTCAAGAAGGCGTCAAGTTGCACATGTTGACGGAGGAATTAGAAGCTAGATTAAATAATCAACAACAGAAACATCAATCATCACGACATCATCAGAAACAATCCGGTAATTCATTATCATCAGAGGACACAGTATAGAAGCAAGAAGCATCGAACGCGAGCATATTTAGATTAACAGTCAACATTCAGTTATATTATAATTCATTTATTTCATAATTGCAAATAATTATTACTTAATCTTAACAAACAATAATAAAGTTTATGACGCTATTGTTATTTCATTAATATAAAATGTTTAAATTTTTATTTACGAAAATAAAATATAATACATACAAATGTATTTTGTTGTTTTTATTATAATCATTTCTTTAAATAAACCCTCCTTGCAAGAATAACATACAATTTTTTTTTTTTTAAAAAAAATATATATAATAAAGGTGAACTTTTTTAGAAAGGTAACTTGGGTGAATTGGTGAATCGAAGGTATGGTTTAACGGTTCTGAAACCAGGGAAAATTTTTTCAGCTTCTTCATTGGAAACACCAGGATGAACAATAACATCATCACCCTTCTTCCAGTTAGCAGGAGTGGTGATACGATGCTTGTCACCAAGTTGAAGAGAATCAATAACACGAATAATCTCATCAAAGTTACGGCCTAAAACATATAAATATAAGTGGGAGAAACAATTAGGATAAATTAACGGGAAAAGAAAAAAGAAAATCCACAATTAAAACTTACCAGTTGAAGCAGGATAAGTGATAATCAAACGAATAACCTTTTTAGGATCAATAATGAAAACACTTCTAACAGTGAACGGAATTCCCTTTTGATCAACGTTGGTGTCATCAAGGTGGTCCAACATATCATATAATTTAGCAACCTTTCGGTCACCATCGGCGATAATTGGGAAGTCAACATTAACATTATTCACTTCATTAATATCTTCAACCCATTTTTCGTGATCTTTCAATTCATTTGCCGAAAGTCCGAGAATTTTTACACCACGTTGGGCAAAATCTGAAGAACGGCGAGCCACTTCTCCAAGTTCTGTTGTACAAACTGGGGCTGTTTTTATAAGGGGAAAAGGAAAGGTAGGAAGAAGAGAATGTCATGATTAAGTTTCTCTAGAAATGAATTTTTACTAGAAAAGAGAAGAAAAAAAATTTGAAGATGGTGCTTACTGAAGTCAGCAGGGTGGGAAAATAAAATCGCCCAAGAACCTTCAATGTGTTTATGAAATTCAATGACACCCTTGGTAGTTTGGACCGTAAAATCTGGTGCAATACTTCCTAAACGTAAAGACATTTCGTAAAATTTTTCCTTTGATAAATAGAAAAAAAAAAGTTGATATGGGAAAAAAGAATTTACTTTTTTTTTTTTTCTTGTTTGAAGGTTATTCGTTTTTATAAGAAATCTGAATCTAGATAAAAAATTTTTAATTTGTTCAAATTTAACTTGATTAATAATACATTTTAACTTTGATTTCACATTCCAATTGTACAATTATGGTTGAATGTAACATTACCATGATCAAAAATTATTGGATAAAAATTGCATCATTGATTTGGAAAATAATGTATTTTTTGTCGTGATTTTCGTTTGAATTGTTTCAAAGGTTTCATATATATATGAGTAGCTTATAAAATCAACTTGTCGGATATAAGTGCTCGATACTTTTCTTAGTGAACGTTTTAGATTTCGGTATTCATCACAATTTTAGTTAAAAAAAGTCGTTATGGTCGGGAAGATCTTGAAAGAGATAAATTATCAAAGATTATCAAAAAAATTTATATAATCATTTCCAAAATTGGTTAATTAAATTTTTTTTTGTTAAATGGTTAGTGAGATGAAATTTTCGTTCAAGATCAATTAACAATGTAACGAAGAGGCGCAAAAAGAAGATAACGTTCTTTCGTTTTTTTTTTGTTTGTTTGTTATTTTAGGTACTTGTTCTGTATGTGGATTATCCTGCGAGGGAAATCAGATAAAGCAATATTTGATGTTGTGAAACAATTCTCCCTCTATTCCCACTATGCATAAATAAATTCTTTGATTTCAATCTGAAAGAGTCTCTTTTATTATAAAATTAATTATTGACGTCTTCCCCATGTATAATGAAATGCCATGATCCTACGCCACGTGACAATTGGATTTGATATGCTATGCGCAGTATATGTATAATTCTATTCAAAAAAAGATATCATTTATATGTGGCTTAGATTGATGAAAATTATGTGATTTGTCATATATTTAACTTATTTGTATTGGCTGCGTAAAATTTAGCCTGATGATACCAAGTATAGATGGTATGAAATTTATAAATTTAATTAGCAAATCCTCCACACCCCAATTAACCTTAATGTAATAAAAAAAACGAAAAAAATAAGGCACTATAATACAAAAAAAGCTTTTCTTGTGGAAACCCCATATTGTTAGTATTACATATCGGAATATGGTGCATAAAAAATTTTTTTCCTTCTTTCTTTTACGATAATCATGACAACACCACCAAGGCGACGTCGTCCTCTATAATAATTTTCCTCGAAAAAAAATATTTTTTTTTTACGCAAAAAATTACTTCTAGAAGTTTTTTTTTAAGAGCAAAGAAAACTTTATCGACCCATCTATTGTCTAATGTGTGACAACAAATTTACGACAATAAGTGAAACTTTGTGACCAGATTCAAAAGAAAAAACAAAAAAAAAACCTAAATTATCTATATATATGTATCTTTTATTTAAATATATGTTATATATTTGATAGTTTTAATTTAATGATATAATTATGATCAAAGTAAACGAAACAAGTACTAATACAACAGAAACGATGATAACAGAAGATTGTCAAGAAGGTTTAACAAAGGAGGATTCTACGAATAAGAAAGATAATGGGCAACATACAACCGACAATATTTTACATAGTGTATCAATAGATAATGAAAAGAGATTATCAATGTCAGAAAGAGTTATTCAATTTATTGGAGGAGGACATTCTAATAAACGAACTAAACTAAAAGAAAATAATACGGAAAATTCAACAGAAAGTGAAAATGATACCTCTATACTTCATTCATTGGATGCCACAACTGAAGATCCATTCACTCTCGAATCTTTTGATACACTTATACAACAACATGCGGAAAAAAATAAAGATTTTATCATAGCAAAAGTAACGACTGTTGACCCATTAGATGAATTAAAATATTATCATTCATTTTATTCTGGTCATCATATCAATAAAATATTATTCAGAACTCAACCCGATCAAGGTTTATTACATCGTATGAAAGCTAAAAATGTAAGTTGATTTTCTTTTGTCGTGAATTTAAATCTTATTTTTTTTTTTTTTTAAAAAAATTAATTTAATTAATTTAATTATCTCCCCATAAACAATTTAGCCATTAAATAATATGAATATAATCGGAGATGTACATTATTATGTCGTTAAAGCAGCGAGTGTAAAAAAATCACAAACATTTGCAAAATCTTCTTCGATGTCTGCGACATCAAGAAAAACATTAGCTGTTAAGGAAGAAGGTGTATCAATAGTAGCAACTTCTTCACTAGATAAAACTGAAGAGGGTGACTTTACGATTAATGTGGATGATGTAATATCAATAGCAGATAATTTACATTCCGCTCCACCATCAATATGGAATTTTAACAACGAAGAAGAAGTGGTGGTGGCTATTGAGATGAACTCTCATTCATCCAAGAATGTTAAAAATAAAAGATGGTCAGCTGATTATTCTATAAAATCCCCTCCAAAAGCTTTTACATCCGACAATAATAATTCATCAACTTCTGGAAATTTGGAAAAATTATTATCATCTATTAAAATTAAGAATTATAACAACAGCAACAACAATAATAATAAAGATAGTCAATCAAGTAAAGAATTTTCCATTTCATTTCCAAAAAATGATGTCAACACCAATCCTTCCTCTTCCTTAGAAAATGAATCCATCTTATCTCCTACAACTACAGTCACACATATAGATGTAGGGGACAATTCAATTCATTATAAGGCAACATTTTATGCAACTGATGATGATTTTTTGATGCGTTCAACGGTACGACAATTTTTCAAATCAAATGCACTAGATCCAGTAGATGCGCAATTATTTACAATAAATTCACCACATAATGTCTCGACGACAATAAATACAACGCCACCAAGTGCGAGATTGGAAAGGATGGTAACAAATAATGGAACAGAGTTCTTTGATTCTACATCGAGTCCATCACATTCTCGCAGAAATTCTCAATCAAATCATGTCAACACTTCAAGATGGTGGAGAACGATACATAATTTGAGAATGAATAAAGGGTTAAAATGGTTGGTTTTGATGTACATGGTATTTGGATTTTTATTAATTAGATTCGTTGTTAATGAAACCTATGCATATTTAATGGCTTTCCTTTTAATGTTGTGCTTATTCCTTGTGTTTTGTGTTGGAAGTGGTGTTGGTATTTGGGGAAGATAATTAGAGTATAGTTCGTAATTTTAGTAATTATTTGATCTTATTTACTTATATATTTTTTTTTTTTAAAAAAAAATATTTTTTCAAGTTGAAATCCTTTACGTATTTAGTTATTTTTGGGGCATTATATATCTTAATATTATAAAAAACACATTTAATTATTTTTTTTTCCCTTAAAAAAAAAAAAACCTGTTATATTTACTAAAAAAAAAAGTGGTTTACAACATTATAAATATAATGCATAATCAGGAATTTATTTTTTTAATAATTTTTTTTTTTTTTTTATGCAACACTATTTCTTCACGAATAATAAAAGAAAATAAACTCTACTCTTACCAAATCAAAGAATTAAATCAAGGGAAAATGTTATTAGTCGAACAGTACATTTTTAGTAATTGAACCATATTTATGTATGTCAATCCTGATTGTCAGTTGGGATGTTTACTTTTGTAGGAAAATTTTAAGAAAAGAAAAAATGTAAAAAAATATGAAAAAGAAAAATAGCAATTTTATGTAGGTATATATTTAGAAAGTAATATAAACGAATTGTAGAAATGTTATTATTTTAGATTACTTGATAGTAATTATATATATTTTGTAAAGAAGCAGTTCATAATAAATGTATCATAATATAGGAGTATAGCCAACTCTCTATAAATGCATCCCCACACTAGTGTGCATTTAGAGAGGGTATGCATTTATAAATTTATATGGTATTAATATAAAATTAAGGTAATACAAAAATTTTATAAGTAATTCTTATAACAAATTTTTTGTCAAAGTGTGCATTTACAGAGAGAGGTATATGGTACAGTGATGTGTATTTTATGCTTCTAATGATAAAAAATTTGATTGAAAGCTTCCAATCCAAATAATTTTATTAATAAATTATGCTTTCAAACCTTTCAAAGGATCTTCCAAAGGTGCTTCCAATCTTCTAAGTGCACATCACTAGTATATGGGAAGCAATCAGTAGAAAAGGGGAAAATCCAAAATTTTTGTTAATTTTTATTATTAAGCCAAATTTGTGCACATGATCGAGATCAGCCAAGTGGTTTAATAATATAAATGTTGATCAAAATTTAGATTTTTCCCTTTTCTACGAATTACCTTATATATATAAAATATATATTTAGCATATAAGTCCTAGCTTGAGACCAAGTAAAAAAGTGCACTTATAAAAGATATGCATTTATAAATAGGTTATCTTATAAAGTTGACTGTAATAATTTTCCTTGATTAATATTTGAGAATTTTCTATAGATTTCATATATAGTAAAGATTTTATTATAACAAGGTAAAAAAATATTAGAAATAAATATGTTCTAATGTTATTAAGTATACAGTCAAACCTATATATAATAATATAACAGGACATATGGGAGCTTATTAATAAAAAAGGAAAAAATCCAAAAAAAATTAAATTTTTACTTTATATGCTAAATATGATTTTTTTAGTAAAATAAGTTTAGATTTAATATTAACTTATAAAATTTTTTTTTAGATTTCCTCCTTTTCCATTAACAAGTTCCTATATATAAAATTTTTTAAAAAATATTATTATATCAAATTATACAAAAATAAAATTTATTAGTATATCAAGTTTTAATAGTATATTGGTATATAGAGATCTAACTGTATATATAAAAGCTTTACAATAGAAAGATATAAAATTTAAAAAAAAAAAATTTTTGAGTTAATGTTAAATCTTAATTTATTTTACTAAAAAATCATATTTAACTTATAAAGTAAATTTTTATTTTTTTTAAAGTTTTATACCTTTTTATAGTGATATCTAAAAAGATTATGCAATACGAAGGAACATAATGCATCATTAATGATCAATCAGGCATAGTAAAATAATTAATGCAGATCATGCTTAAATTAATATATAAAGAAAAGGATAATCAATGATGCAATATGTAATAAAACTATAAAATATTACGTAATAATTGAGTAATAATTATTCAATTAAGATCTTACATAATAATAAAGTAATAATTATTTAATAGTAATGCAAATGATAGAAGAATTATATCATTATAACTTAATTATTAAATAGAAATTATATAACAAAGAACAAAGTAGAAAATTATTACATAATAGTTAAGCAATAATTATTAGATAGAATACAAATATTACAAAATAAAATAATAATTATATAATTGTTATATAATAGTTTTTAGCTGTAGCATAAAATATAAATTGCCTTAAAAATTTATCATATATCAGAAATCTAATTACGATTTTAGATAAAAGTGTAATTTTGAGATTTTATTCTTTGAAAATACTTTCAATAAAACTTATTTTAAGCCTAAAATTGTAAATTCTCATTAAAAGTATTATTACTCTCAAATCTAAGTCTTTTCTAGCAAAACTATCCTAAAAGTTTTAAATATCAAAGGTAAAACTATCTCAAGAATTTCAATTACAGAGAGCTTGCCGAAACTATTTCAAGAGTTTTAGAAGTAAAAGATATAAACCAGCATCTTTTCTATCTCAACGATTTCAAGCATTAGAAAATTAAAAACATCGTAAAAGTATACTTAAACTTAAGATTACTAAATAACCCAAAATTTCACAAGTTACCAATCCTTATATTGGTCGATTTGAAAACTTAATTTGTGAACAAATATCCTTAAAGTACAATTAACAAGTCACGTATTCAAGAAAATCTTAAAGACTCTTTTACAAATGCAATCCGAACTAAGTTTAATCTTACTCATCCTAATTAGGTATTTCAGTTCGCTTAATTAACAAGTTTGGGTAACAATAGCAAAGCATTCATATTGGTTTAAATATACTTTTATATAGTAAATTAGCAAAATTATAACCTTTTAGGTTCTTATTAACAGATATTATATCTAATAAATAATAGTTAATATGCTTAATTAGAGCTTTACTAGAAAATTTTAAAAGTGTAATTAATCAAATATTATTTAAGTTATACTATCATACTTGTCTATAATCATCACTTTTGATTTTATAGTAAAATTTTCAAAATATATACTTATAAAAAGATTTTACAATATAGAGATATTTTTTATTAATTTAATTATAACTGGTTTAATATAAGTGTAATTATAAAAAGGATTTATAGATATGATTATAAATAGAATAATTATAACAAGTCCAAATGTATCCCTAAAATTTGAGTTTAAATATTGGATTTATAAATGTTTTATACTATTAATCAGAAATTTTATTTAACATAAAATAATAGCAAGCAATTTTTCAAAGAATTTTATTTGAAATTAAACCTAAATGTTTTAATATTTTCAAAAGTCTTGTAGCTTTATTATTAAATAAAATAAATAGAAAGTTTAATATAAAAATTTATTTTAGATTTATTGAAAGAATTATTAATAAATCATAAATTTTTGTATTGATAGATAAAATAGATCAATAACAATCTTTTATAATTATCAATTATATCATTAGTCTAGCAACTTTTTGAAAATATTTAAGGTCTCATTTTTTCTGCTTTAATATTGGTTAGAAGTTTAAATCATTTTTGAATTATTTAAATATTATTAAAACAAATGATAATTTTTGATCTATCTAAAAGTAAATTATATATAACTGTTTGATTTTTGTCAAAGTTTTCATAATATTTGTTAATTTATCTAATATAATTTGCTTTAAATTTGAATTTATTTTCTTTAAGCTTTATATTTATTATAAGAATATTAATAAGGTTTTAAATAACATATCCTTTAATATAATAATAAAATATAGTAATATAATTAAAGATTTAATAGTTTTTAAATAAAGTGAAACTATTTATTATTATAATAATAAAAACCTTAAAGGTTTTTATGAGAAGTTTAATATTTTTATATATATTCTTTAGAAATTTTAAATGTAGTTCTTTTTGATAAACAAAGAAAAATTTGTATAAAAAAAATATTTTTTACTAATAAAGATAATAAAATCTTATAAAAATTTTCAAATAAAATTAAGTTTATATTTCATGTTTAATTTAAAATTAGTATTAGGTATAAGAAGAAATTTTATAACTTAAGAATTCACTTTGTTATTAAATTTTAATTAAATATTACTAGACATTATTATTATATAGGAAGATTAACTTCTTGATAACTATTAAAAAATTATAAAAAGAATTAAAGGTATTAGAAGTTAACTTTAAATAAATAATATTATAATCAGAAAAAATTGGATTAATAAGAATAATATCATAATTAAAATAAGAAAAAATTATCATAATTCTCAATATTACTTTAAAAAAGAAATTTCTATTTTTATTCTTCTTTAATTTGATATTATTTCTATAATAAATTAAGTGATACTATTCTAAATATTTTAATTAATAAATATTAAAATAAGTCAAATTCTTTACTGATAAAACTAAATAATAGTCTCAATTTACTTATACTAATTAAATAAAATACTATTTCTTATTTATGTTTACTAAAAATGTTCATTTAATATACATTTCCTTATTCAGTCTTAATAGTAGTAGATAACAAATAGGATTTAATATAAGTTTTATTATAAATATTTCTTTTAAAAACTATATTTTTTAAACATAAATCAGTATAAGAAAAATATCAATTCATTGACTTTCAATTTAACAATAAAATACTATTTTTACCTTATTAATATTTATATGCTTTATTCAAATAATTTTCTTCAAAAATTGATTTATAATAAGAATATTAATTTTATTAGTGAAGTTATCAATTTTAATATGTCTATTATTTTTATCAAAAACTTTAATACTGGTCTTTTCAGATAAAGAAAAATTAAATATACCAATCTTTTCTTTAGAACTTTAGATAATTTAAATCTAATTAATTCTTTAGATCTTATTTCTAATAGAAATAGCATTGCTCTTTTATATTTTATAAATAACTATTGATTATTTTTAACTTTATTAAAAATATAGCTTTTTTAGAAATAAACATAAAGATATTTAATACTTTTTCTATTTATTTGAATCTATAGGTAGTGAAATTAAATTATTATAAATTTTAGTGAAA